CAGCACACGAGCCACTTACTTACACCTTCTTTCCAGGATGTCTTATTTCATTATATCTCTCTCTTACCTGGGTCTCAAAGATGAATGACTCCAAGCTGTTGGCCGATTTTTCTCTTTCCTGTTTCTCTAGATCCCTGATTGTCAAATCTTGGAGTCTAACATGTAAACAGACAGGAACCAAAGGTAAAGTTACTATTTGCCTCGCATTCCTCTGGCTGTTTCCTCCTCGTCCACCCAGAGCTGAGTGGCCACCAGAGTAGGCTGCGTGTGATCTCAAGCTTCGCTGCTGCAAGCTCTGAATGCAGACACACGCACCCGGCCAATGCACAGCTGCCAGCATCCACCCTGGAGACATTTTCCCCTGGTTCACTTATGGAGCTGCCAAGGGAGGGAGCTAATCTCCGAAAGCAGGGATCAAAGCAGATCTGCTTCAGGAGCACAGTGTCATTTTGGCATAGGGAATATTTGGAAACCAGCGCCTCCTCTAGTGCCACAGCAACTCACTCCCTTTACGCAGTGCTTTACAGTCGCACGCCGATTCCAAACTTACTTCTTCACTGAGCTCTGGAGCTCATCCTCCAACGGATCGAGCACATCATTTACATCCAGTTCCATGGTGATCTCATGCACAAGCTTCTGCTTCTTGGGTGCTTTGATCTTCTTTTCTTCCTCTGTTTTGGTTGCTGTGCTGTCACCAGAACTTTTGGAGGGTTCTTCCTCTTTCACGGTTTCTCTGTTCTCTTTGGGATCCTGTAACAGACAAAATAAGTTCTCACATAAGGAAACAGATTTGCAACACCTGCCAAACAGTCTGACAAACACTTCTCGGGCAAGTGACCTCAAAGGACATTTTACTCCAGAACACACAGGTTGTTAAGAACAAAAAAGCCAGCCAAGTCTGCAGGATGAGGCTGGTGGCTTGCATGAAGACATCTGCATAGGAAAAGCATGGAATTCTGCATGCAGACAGGGTGGTTCTTACCAACCCCCTTCTCAACAAAGAGTGGGGGACAGAGAGGCTTGCGGAGAAAAGAGATTTGTTTGTTGCAGCTGAAACCAACCTAGGCAGTTCTTCCCAAGACAGGGCACTGGCAGGCAAAAGCTTTCCTGAGCACCAGCCACTAAGCACCAGAGGCTAACGGGAGGGTTATTCTTCCAAACAGACCCTTCCAGCAGCAAAGCCACAGCTGCATTCCCTCAGTCTGCCGCTTACCTGAGGCTCTGACTTCTCTCCTTCGTCTTTTTTCTCCGACTCTGTCTTTGGAGGAGCAGTTTCTGGTTTGTCTTGACCTGGAGGTGGTGACTGCTGTTTCTCCTCTCCCTGCTCTGCACCAGCATCTTCCGCACTGCTCTTCTGCTCCTGTTTCTCCCCCGGCTCCTCTCTAGCACTTTCTGCTAGGCTCTCTTCTTCTTCCTGGTCACCACAGGGAAGTAAAAGGGGAAGGAAAATACTTGCTTGTACACGGGAATGCCATGCAAGTGCTTCACCAAGCAGGTAATCTGCACTAAGCTCTGTTTCAACAGAAATAAGTGCAGCCCATAATGCCAGGGCACCCTTTCCTGGAGTTGCCAGCAGAAGGCCCCAGGTTTCTCTAAACACCTGCCACAGGAAGTTCAGAGGAATATGGGCTTTTGTGAAAAATGCATGTTCGAAATTCTGAAAACTTGCCAGAAGCCAGGAATTCTGCCCATGGAAACCACTGCCTCCTTAGCACCCGAAGCACGAGCCAGGTATTCGCCCTCAGATCACCAGGGTCAGCCCCTCGGGCTCACCTGCACCGGGTCTGTCAGGTTCTCGCCGGTCTCCAGCGTAGGGCCGCCCCCGCCAAACAGGCTCGAGATGGTGTTTCCAAGCTCTGCCAGAGAGAAAAAAATTCCAGATCATGCTCAAAGCAGCCCGGGCAAAAGGAGGATGGAGACCAGCTTCAGCTCCCAGGTCTTCCCGTCACGACTGCAGTAACTACCGAGGAGCCTCCTGATCAGTTAGCTACACGTACTGCAGCCACTCACCCTTCCCTTGGCTTCACCTTGTGCTTTTTGTGTACTCACACACTCACGCACACAGAGTGGGACCTCCATCTCTGCAAGAACGTGACCTGGAACTCATTACTTCAATTAAAAACCGTCAAGCCTCAACCTACGATTGTACTAGCCACCCCTGCTTCTCTCCTTCATCGCCGTACTACGCCAATTTCCTCCTCCCTTTCCATAGGGAAATCTTGGCTCTCTTTAGAGCCTGGACAATGCAAAGCACAGATCAGCAGCATCACAACTCAGAGAGCCAGAGGGGAGAGTGCTGCAGGGCTACGGATGTAGGACTTCCCTTCAGGACAGTCCCCCTGCATGAGCAGCTGCAGCTGAACAAGGAGAAACAGCTCTTATTTTTCAAGTTGCAATGCATGCCATAGTCACCTTAGGAGTGTATGACATCTCAGACAGAGCTCCCTGCAGCACCCAGCAGCCACTTGCAAAGGGCTTTTAGGTATTTTGGAGCTGTAAACATAATCAGAGGCTACAGTTAACTGCCCATTTCCCCACCTCCCCTCCCCTCTCCCCCAGTACAGGATTCTGACTCGGCTCAAAGAAATGGGATGCTGGCAGTTATCCCAGCCACAGGGGATCAAACATCCCTGTTTTTGGTAGGTTGGTTGTTTTTTTTAGTTTAGTTTTGTTTTGAAACACAAAACAGCCACTATGAATATCAAAGTTCAGCACTTACTTGTCAGTGTTGATTCCTCTTCCAGCTTGTCTTCCACCAAGGTCTCAAACACAGATTCCACCTTGGAGAGAGAAGCAAGGGGGTAAGTACCAGCAGGGACCACCACTACCACAGCAGTGACAGAACTGGGACAAGCATCACGGCAGGATCTTACCCGGTCAAGACTCAGTACGCCACTCTCATCCATGTTGAAGTGAGCTTTGATGCCTTTGGACTCATAATCCGAGTGCTTCTTGAAACTGTCCCCAACTCCCTTCAGCCGCACAGTAGTCAGATTCAGAGACCCAAAGATCCTGCGGGTACAAAGACAAAAGCAGAAAGAGAAACTTTACAAAGACGACGACTGCAGAGCAGCTAACCACTTCTCACATTCGTGTCTGCAGTGCTGGACAAGTGGACCATGCACGGCTAAAGCACAAGCTGGAGAACAGATCTGCAAACGTGTTACAGCTGCTGCCAGGCACACAGGCCTCCCTGCCCACGAGCTCCTCGGGGCAGGCACGTGGCACTGCCCCCGAGCCGCCTGCTCAGGTGCTCGCGCCAACGCACCGCGCGTCATCCCGGCTCAGGAAGGACAGATCTCCGTAGTTGACGTAGAACTCAAAGTCGTCCGTGTAGCGGTTGAAGGTGATCACTTTGCGCTGGGGGTAGGGCGCCATGCGCTGGAACAAAACCCTCTTGTTGTGCTTCAGGCTCTTGGATTTATCCTCCTCCTCGACCTCCCGAGTGAACTCCACCTGCATCACGCATGCAAAGAAAGAGTCAGACAAGAACCAACCTCTTCCCCACAGTTTCCTGTGTCAGAGGGTTCCGCAGCACCGGGCAGCTGTATCTCCTGTAGGCAGCTGACGACAGACTAGTATTTTTCCACCGATATGTCTAAATGCCTACAGCCATCTCAGGACTTGTTAGCTATAGCACTCGCATTGTACCAAAGACTTTCCCCTGCAGAAAGATCTCCCCGGCTTCCGTAATATACAACTCTACCCGGAACGTAGAGCCCAAAACAGCCCTGTTCACCCATACTTTGCCCCAGAGAAAGCAAGCAAAGGGTTACCTGGATAGGAAAGAGCGCCGCATCCCGAACAACAAAAGGCTTCACCTTAAAGGCTTTGCTTAAGGCAGCTGCCTGGTAGACTGCCCCCATAGCAGCAGCCTCATCCGCATTGATGTTCTTGCCCAGCTCTTCTCTAGGGAGGGAAAAGCAGGAGACGTAAGCTTTGCAGCCGCGGACAGGAGCCGTGACTTGTCAAGAGGAGGCAGATGAGAAGGGGGCCTCACATACTCACTTGCCCACAGCTTTCAGCAAAACCTCCTGCACTTTGGGGACCCGTGTGGCACCGCCAACTAGAATCACCTGGTCAATTCCACCCTAGGGATTGGAAACAGTCACCTTGTCTTGAGAAAGCAATTTTGGAAAGCTAAGTTCAGGGCTTCCTTACGCCACACACCGATGCGGCGCTTTGAGAGCCACCACGCTACATCTCACAGTCCCAAAGCCAGGATGTGGGACCTGGAATCAAGCCTATCAAGCAGGGCTGACACGGCTCCTGCTCCGTGCCACCCAAAACACAGGACTTCACTCAGAAATCGTCGGGCAGACTACAGTATACATCAGAGCAGCCAGCGACTCGGGCAGCGCAGAAAATAACCGGAAACACAGAACCTAAGATGTGATTCAGTGTCTTGCACTGCATACCAGAGCCAGTAAGCGCTCAGGAACATCCTGGCATCTTGAAACGTGAGCACTTAAGAATGCCACGAGTCTGCAAAGGGCTGCATCACGTTTGGGTTCAACTGTAGTCTGCATCGGGGCTTCTGAAGGCAGTGCTCAAGGCACATGCCTGAGCAGCAGTACTTCTGTTCCCAGGCAGTTGGAGATAAAACTTCACGAGTCAAACCAGAACCAGCATCCAAGACAAAAAAGAGATAGTGTTAAAATACTCCAACACAGAAGTAGAGGCTCCATAACAGGAATAAAACCCTCACCCAACTCCTTTGTTGCCGGTGGTTACTGCAGAAAACCATGCCAAAATCCTGTTTGCCACTGCAGCACTAACTTCTCTGCAGTGCCAACACTGCACTCTGTTAAGGTAGCAGGCACGTGCACCCCTCAGGAGCGTCAGACACAGTAACCACCGACAATCATATTGTGACATGTCAGCAGATCCATACACGGAAACGTCGGGCTTCTTAATGCATTCCTAGACCTACCAGGTCCATCTCGGCGCTGCTCAAGGCTTGCTGCACAGGTCCTGGGACTCGCTGGAACAAGTCAGAGCACAAATCCTCAAACTCTTGTCTTGAGACCTTGGCCTTGAAGTCAATATCATCCAGTAGTCCCTCAATCTGGCAGGAAACAAAATCAGACAGCATGACTTTAATTCACAGAGCGCTCCCCAAGCGACACCTTTGCTCAACTTCCCCGGGGTACAGAAGGTTCCAGCTCTGTTAATGCACCTAGGAGCTGACTGCACTCCCCTGAACCCTGCCCTCGCTAAGGTGAGGAGAGGGACAGAAGACTCTAGATGTAGCAGACAAGGTTCTCCGAGATCCCAAACCAGTTTGGTTTTTTTAACCACATAAAACATTGCTAAGCCTCAGTGAGCCCCTCCACTGAAGTCACTAATTTTACTGTGCTGCCGAAGCCTCTGTGACCCTGCTTCTACACCCCTCTCCTTACGACACCCCACACGTGCCCCTAGAGAGCCCGGACCCCCCGCAGCAGACTGCCAGACCTGTGCCATGTGGTCCACGTTGGCGCTCAGGACGGTCTTCAGACGGTTGGCCTCCTTCAGGAGCTTGGCCATGGCCCGCGGGTTCTTTCGGACATCCTTTGAAGGATGCTGATCATTGAAGAGTTTTGCCAAATAATCCCGGAGCCGAAGCTCCATCTCCAGGCCTCCAAGAGTACGATCAAACCTGAGCAAAAAGAAACAAGCTGGTGATAAACCTCGTTTATTCTTTCACAAATATGCAGAAAAGAAAGCCTCCAAAGTAGCTGCAGTGCCACCAGCTGTGAACGATTACAAAAGAATAGCAGCTCCAAAAGTAACAATACATCAACAAAGAGGAGAGTCACCAAGACAATAACTTTAAACAGGCAACTTCAAAACGCGTGCAATAGAGCCCTGATTGCTAAAGATGTCAAGCAGCTGAGAAGCCAAAGGAGAGCTGTCCCAGGACCTTTTTTAAAGAAATAGGAGCGTAAGGTTTTGCAGTCAAAAGCGCCGGGAAGATGCGCAGGGCACCTCTCCGCTCAACTGGTAACATACAACTGCATTTGCATTCACATTGCACTATTGCAACCTGACATAATGGACTTCTGTAACGTCACAGGAAAAAAAAAAAAAGCTACACTAAACTGGCTTAAGGCTATAAAGAGCCCCAAGTCTAAGGCAGATGAAGCACACCGGTTAGCCCTTCCCCCAGCCTCCCTCACCTCTTGCACAAGACAGTGATACCTGAATTATTGGTAACTTGAGCCTCTCACCTCTGAATGCTTCCCACTCCATTGCCCGAATTACCACATTTGAGTCTTGTTCAAAAGTCTGCATTTAGAAGAAACTGCAGAACAAGTGCTTCCCTTCCTGATCCCTGCGGGTTTTCCGAGACTCATGCTGAATTCTTACCCAATGCCAAGGATCTGCAATTGAGGTTGGGTTCCCGAGTCCTTAGTTTTCACCGTCTGATAAGCGACAATAGTACAAGTGGTACTTCCTGCTCCCATGTCATAAAACATGATGGTCTGAAAAGAGAAGTTAGGATAGCAAGGCGGAAATTCCTGGAAATCCTCCTCAAGTGAAATACAGACAATGACGTGTATTAGTAGATAATTAAATAAAGGATCTGCGTTTTTCCAGGCTTGTAACAGGTCAAGACTATCTGCTTGCTGAACTGGCTTTATGTTGTAGGACAGAGCGGAGCGGCAGGACTCAGGCTTTGGTCAAAGTACAGGCATTCACTGCCAGACGTGATGCAAGCAGACAAGAAAGCCTTTCACTTCCATTCCACAGAGCAGGAAAAAAAAAATCCTAAATCCCCATCACCTGCGCTTCACTCCAGCGCTTTCAGCTACAGCAGCATTTCAGAAATCAGCTGAGCTTTACACACCGTGGCTCTCCTATGGCATGCAGGGGGGTTTTATCTCTTCACCTTGTTCACAGGTGTACAAAGCCAAAGCAGCACGCCCACCTCCTCGAAGTCCTTCGCGTTCCCCCGCGGCGCAATCCCCGTGCGCACGCAGGGGCGCAGGACCCTCCGCGTCCCCCCAACCGCTCGTACCTGCGCGGTGGCATTGATGTCTTCACAAAGCCAAAGCAGATGGGCTAAACAGCACGCCCACCTCCTCAAAGTCCTTCGCATTCCCCCGCGGCGCGATCCCCGCGCGCACGCAGGGGCGCAGGACCCTCCACGTCCCCCCAACCGCACGTACCTGCGCGGTGGCATTGATGTCTTTCCTCCGGAAGACCCCGTAGTTGAGCGCCACGGCGGTGTTGTCGTTGATGAGCTGCAGAACCTTCAGGTCGGCCATGCGAGCAGCGTGCAGAACCGCCCTCCTCTCGGCCTGGTTGAAGTAGGCAGGAACCGTGATCACCGCGTCCTTGATGGGCTGCTCTGAAACAGGGAAAGGAAGGCGGTTTTCATCGGGGCGGCCGTGCTCCGGGTCCCCCTCCTTTAGCCACAAAGACACACGTGCACAGGGGCGCGAGGAAACACCCGGTACCGCAAGAAACACTCGAATCCTGCCAACCTGCAAATTCTTCCGCCAGACCACGTGAATAGTTCAAGACCATTCCCAGCATCTCTTCTGGAGAATACTGCATCGTTCTGCAAGAAAGAAAATGACAGCAGTCAGCTACAGAAGCCCAACAGCAAAGCCCCCCCAGCAAGGACCCCAGAGATCACATACTGGGACAGCTTGAAAACAACCGTCTGTCTCCTCTCATCCTTCACCAGTTCATGTTCTGGGAATCGGGATCGGTACAGTGCCACTTGCGGGTTATCCACGTGCTTGCCCAGCAGATCCTGAAAGTATCTGAACGCCACCTTGGGGGTCCTTATTGACTACCAAAAGAAAAAGAAAAAGTTACCCAGCTAGATTTCTTCAGCTCTGCTGCGGCCAAACTTCTCCCTTTCCACAAACTGGACTGCTCTTTGCTATGGGAGTTTGGAAAGCAAGACTGGTTAGGGAAAAAAAAAAAAGAAAAGGAGAAAAAGAGCCGATACAGAAGGACGGTAAAACACCACATGGATTAGGAGAGAGATACAAGAGAAAAATCAGGCTTCCTAACTCAGACCTCTATCATGACGAGCCCAATAGAGAGAAAATATTATCTGAGCGTAGGAACCGCACTGGGCATACTGAGTAACAAGGGCTCTTACCATTCCTAGCGCGCTATCGCCGAAGAGACGCTCATTTTCTTTCAAGGAAACGGCCACAGGAGTTTTCCGTCGAGATTCCCTATGTAGGAAGGGAGGGATAACACAACTGACAGCGGGGGCCACCAACACTGAGTTTCCAACACCGAGCACAGGGAGTCTTTTCAAATTCAAAAGGCAAATTCCCAGGAACGGCCTAGGCAGAGCAGCCTGGTTTCCCTGATCGGAGGGGCCGCAGCAGCAGCCTCTCCCTGCAGAGCCGGACGTTCCTCA